TCTCCCCAAAAGCAGTTGGGATTGGGATCCAACAGGAGAATTCCAAAATTAGCCCCATGGTTCTTCCCAAGATTAGCTGGGATTGGGGATCCAACAGGAGAATTCCAAAATGAGACCCATGGTACTTCCCGAGAGTACTTGGGATTGGGGATCCAATGCAGGAATTCTGAAACTAGCCCTGTAATTCTCCCCAAAAGCACTTGGGGTTCCAAGTGCTTGGAGATCCAAAAGGAGAATTCCAAAATTMGCCTTGCTGTTCTCCCCAAGTGCACTTGGGATTGGGGATACAGCAATTAATTCCAAAATTAGCCCTGCTTTTTTCTTCATCATGGTCAGAACAGGAATGGGATCAGCACTCTGGGGACACCAAAGCTCAGGGAAAACTTTCAGTCCTGACTCCTTGGAGGAGGTTTGGGACAGCTGAGGGTTGGGACAGCAAGGAGGCCAGGGATGAGCAGTTTTCCTAAAAGGAAATATTCCTCTGCTCCAGCCTCTTGCTTCCCTCCCCAAAAATAACAAACATCAAGTCACATCTGGGGTTTATGAGCAGCAGAGGCTCCATGGGACGTGTGGCAGGATCATTTTCCAAAGATCAGGAGAAGAAGCTCCCCAAATCCTCTGATTCTGGAGCTATCCCAGCATCCCAATCCCACACATTCCCATGGGAATCTCTCACCATGGTGTCCTGGTCATAGATCTCGATGACGATGATGGGGGGATCATCGCGCATCTCGTGAGCTTCCCCGTACAGCTCCACGTTGTCGAACACCAGGAGCTGGTCCCAGGTCGGGCAAAGGGTCTCGTTGAGGACCTGGAGAAAYGGGAAGGAGAGATTCCTACTGCTCCAGGGACGGAGCAGAGTCCTGGGAAAGGGTGGCAGGCGGGGCTGCTGTGCTTTTTTTGGATCAGGGAGGCATCAGGAATCTTCCAGGGGTTCTTCTGAGGAAAACCACCCAAGAGCTGATGAGCAGAGATGGATTATTCCCAGTGGCCACTGGGCTTACTAAAGCCTGGCTACCCTCAGACTGGGAAGGGGAGGCCCAAAAATCATTTTAACATGATCCAATTCTACCTAAACAGACAGAGAATTGCAGGGAGTCACAGGGAATCGGGGGAATGATGGGGAATGATGGGGAATGATGGGGAACGATGGGGAATGATGGGGAACGATGGGGAATGAGGAGAATGATGGGGAATGACGGGGAACGATGGGAAACGATTGGGGACGATGGGGAATGATGGGGAATGATGGGG